AGATTCAGTGCAAGTCATAGATATCTCAATTATTTCATGGAAATGAAATTACCTGGAGACTTCTTTGAAATCAACCCCCAAAATAATAATGTGCATTCCAGTATGGGGGAGATTACACCCTACACTGGCTACCGGTTTAAGGCATATATAGTACCCTTGAAGAGTGTCATAACTGACCCCCATTTCAGCTATTCTTTTAAACCAGCTTCTTCTAGGCAATGGGGCATGTATCAGTCTACTATCGCCACAATAAAACTGTGCAGCGCAATGCTCTAAAACCCAGAGGCAACACAGCAATCATTTATTCTCTCAATGCATCTAAGGATCAGTTGATCTGGATAGACTGAGTTCAGTTGGGCGTGGCTTCGAGCTACACATTCTTACCTTCTTCGGACCACTGGACCAGTTGGGGCATGTTCTTCTCATGATGATGGCAGAAGCAAGAAAACAAACTCAAATTACCAGCATAGTTGAAATCTTTGCTTGTATCACATACCCTATGATCAAAGAAAATCCACATGGCCAAACCTAACATAAATGAAGCAGGGAAGTATATTTCTCCCACATAAGAAAGGGGAGCATGTGTGACTATTTTAAACAATAATTTAACATAAAGCCCATGGATAAACCAGTGAATTCCATAGGTATGAGACCATCATCACATTTCCTTCTATGAAAATATGTTCCTTCAATAAAATGCATAGAAGAAAACATAGGAACTAAACTCAAGGACTTTGGACTTAAAGAAGATTTTATGAATTTGATCTCAAAAGCAAGGGAAATAAAAGCTAAAATAAATGAATGGGGCTACATCGAACTAAAAAGCTTCTGCTCAGCAAATGAAATCGTCGACAAGGTAAAGAGACAATCAAAAAATGGGAAGACGTCTTGAACAGACACTTCTCTTTAGAGGACATAGAAATGGCCAACAAATATTTGAAAAGGTACTCAACATCGCTAACTATTAGGGAAATGCAAATTGAAACCACAATGAGACACCATCTCACAACTGTTAGAATAGCTATAATCAATAGGACAAGTAATAACAAGTGTTGGAGAGGATATTGATAAAATGGAACCCTCATACACTGCTGGTGGGACTGAAAATTGGTGTAGGCACTATGGAAAACAGAATGGAGTTTCCTCAGAAAACTAAGAATTGATCTACCATATGATCCAGCAATCCCTCTCCTGGGTATTTACCCCAAAGACTTGAAAACCCATATCTGAAAAGATGTTTACACACCAATATTCATAGCAGAATTATTCTCGGTGGCCAAGACATGGAAGCAACCAAAGTATCTTGCCATAGTTGATTGGATAAAGGAGCTGTGGTACATGTATACGATAGAATATTACTCAGCCATAAGAAGAGATGAAATACTGCCATTTGCAACAACATAGATGGACCTCGAGATAATCATGCTAAGCAAAATAAGCCAGAAAAAGTTGAAAACCACATGATATCACTTATATGTGCATTATAAACCTAAAAGCAACAAAGGAACAAGACAAACAGAGACTCATGGACATGGACAATAGACTAGTGGTTACCAGAGGGTAGAGGGTGGGGGAGGTAGATGGGGTAAAGGGAGTCAAATACGAGGTGACAGAAAGAAATCTAACTATGCGAGGTGAACACACATTGTAAATATATATATGTCTTACTGTTATAGTGTACAGCTGAAACTTAATGGATTTCATTGACCAATGTTAACGAAAATTAAAAAAAAAAAAGAAAATATGTTCCCTGTTTAGAGATGTTATGTACCGTGGAGATGGATATACCATTCTGTAAGTTCACAGATGTTGGTGCTGTAGGCAGGGAGGGCACATCTCTGTGTGGACTATGACTCTATAGTTGAAACGCATATTGCTCTTCCACCACGTGGCCAGCTGGGTCCCCAAGAGATTTGTGTTCTATCAGGTTCTCGAAGTTGGCTTCTGCTATTGGCAGGCTGGGTTGTCTCAGTGGCAGTAGCAGCCAAATCAGAGTTGATGAAGAGCAGTCCAAGAGGTCAGACCTATGCACAGCTTCCATGTTGTTACTATACCCACTTTATATATGTTTTCTCTGAACAAGCACTGGAGTGTTGGGGGGAAAAGGCCAGTGCCCACAGAGTATGGACCCCTCCATATTAAATGTCTTCTAATGGATATTTTCATGGGACAATGCATCAAATTTTATATATCAGATAAAACTAAATTCACGAAGGGCAGATCAGATGCCAATCTTAGTGCCACCTGACAGGAGCTGTGGCCTTCACTTGTGAATGAAGCCAGCCTGCAATAAGACACCTGGGGGAATAAGTACTCCAACCTTGCTACCTCCCTCTCCTCTGCCACCGGTGATCCCCATTGGCTGTATCTGACCAAAAGCCAAAGAGCCCACTGATGTGATCCACATAAGTCAGCCTCTAGGGGCTCACAGCTGGATGAAGAGGAGAAAATCTGGGTGTGCGGTGGTAGGCAGCCCCTAAGATGGTTCTCACTGAACTCCACCTCCTGGTATTCACCCTCGTATAGTCCTTTGCCATCTTGCACTGAAATTGGTCTGTGTGGCCAATAGAATATAGCAAAAATAATAAAGTGCCACTTCACTTATTAGGTTGCAAAATGCACTCCAGCTTTGTTTTTGGTCACTGTAGTAGGCAATTAAGATGGTTTCCATGACCCTTGCTTCCTAATATGCAAACTTTTGTGTAAAAACTTTCTTGGGAGTGTTGGCTGGACCAAGTTACTCGATTTTAATGACTAGAATATGCTAAAGTGATGGGGTATCGTTTCTAAGAGTTGGCTACAAAAGACTGTGACTTCCATTTTCATTGCATATTCTCTTGCCCTCTTGCTTGCTCTGATGAAGCAAGCTGCCCTATGGAGGGTCCCACATAGCAAGGAACTGAGTGGGACTTGTCTAACAGCCCACAAGAAACTGAATCCTGTCAACATCCACTTGAGTGAGCATGGAAAAGAATCTACCCCAGGTGAGATTTAAGGATCTTAATTTTCAATGACTTCAACCCCAGCTGACACCTTAATTGCAGCCTCTCAACAAACCCAGAGCCAGAGGCCCCAGCTAAGCCTTGTCCAGATTCCCGGTCCACGGACAATGTGAGATAACAAATGTTGCTTGAAGTTTGGGAATAATTTATTATACAATAGTAGGTAACTAATACAGTCTCAGTCTCTCTCTTTCTATGACCACTTGCTTTGGGGGAAGTCAGCTGATCTGTCATTAGCAGCCCTATGGGAGGCCCACCTGGAAGAGAACCAAAGCCTTATGCAACTGCCATACCTGAGCACTGTAGTAGACCCTCACCTAATCGAGCCTTCATGACTGCAGCCCCTTCCCACAGCTCCATGCATGAGAGACTTTGAGCCAGAAGCCCCAGCTAAGGCACTCTTGAATTCCTGATTCTGAGAAACTGTGAGGCAACAAATGTTTGTTGTTTTAAGCTTCTAAGGTTTGGGGTAATATGCTTTGCAGCAATAGGTAATAAACATGGTGGTGA